TTGAATGAATGTATGCCTTTGCTACCTAAAGGTACTGAACTGATTGATAGTACTTTTATATCTACATATGTATACATAATATATAACTAAGATTTAGACGACACTCGGACAACTAACCGATATCCTAAGTTCACATCCAAACAAGGAAAAGGAAATAAAGCGAGTTAGCAGTCCTAAGTCCTTTAAACATTATTTATATAACTATACATATATAGACATGCTTTTTAACAATATATAAGTTTAAAAGAGGTTTTGTAATTCAATTAAAGAGTTTTAACTATAAATATTAATGACTTGATGTCAGTTTATAAAATGATTTAAAAGCATTTTGTTTGATAACACAGTTTAAAGTATAAGAAATCCTTTGTTTGAAACACAGTTTGAAGTATATGAAATCCTTTGTTTGAAACACAGTTTGAAGTATATGAAATCCTTTGTTTGAAACACAGTTATAAATCACATGTGATTGATTATATAACTAGTATGTTTTCTACTTGTATTCCCCCCCCCCCCCCCCATAAAAGCATTTAAAATCATTTAAAAGATAAGTTAAGGGGGTATGAACTCACATGTAGTGAGTGATGCGAATGTAAGATCGGTAAAGGATGCTAAGTGTCAAGTGAAGACTTGAGCACACACGGATCCTATTTAGCATATAATGACACATATATGTATCTAATTAGTGTTTATAACATCTAATCATGAAATGGAACAACCTTAGGGACTAGGAAACACTTGTAACGAAGTGTTAAACCACATAGGGTTGCATATAAGGGATGTATGGCCACACTAGGGTGATTACGGCCCAAATGGTAAGACAAATGGAGTTCACGGCCATGAGTTTACGGCCACATGAGTTTACGGCCGTAAACTCATGTCATTTTGTGCATATGGGTGTTTTAAATGTCTTTCAAGCATTAAGGAAGGATCCTATGTTCATGTCATGCCTTAGGAGGAGTCTAAGGTCCAAATGCCCCACTAATTAGGGTTTACGGCCAAGGGAGACGCTCTTGGCCGTAAACACCTTTTGTTCTTGATTTCATGTTGTTTTCAAGGTGATTAACATGTGATTCAAGTATATATCAAGCTAAGGAGAGAGTACTTACGATATAGAAGCTTGATAGGGTGATCAAGGTCCAAAAACACTAGTGTGTGTTCTTGGTGTTCTTGGTGAAATGAAGAACACTTGAAGATCTATCAAAATGGAGTGATTTCATGGATGAAATCAAAGGGTTGTACTAGATAAAGAGATGTAACAACAAATCAAAGGAAAGAATTCTTACATTTTTGGAAGATCAAGATGAAGATCCTATGATACTTGAGAGAGAATTCGGGTTTTCTAGACTTGAAATGAAAGAAATGAGGAAAAGTGGTGGAAACTCATGTATATAACATGAGTTTACGGCCAATCATGAGTTTACGGCCCAAACTCATGAAGGTTTGGCCGTAAACTCCACATGATGGGGTTTAAGCTTTATTAGTGCACAATGGACTCAAGCAGATACTTCCTAACACCCGATTCTTGAATGTAGTATGCTTAGAACACTCAAACAGACTCTAAACAGTGCTAAAAGATAGCAGAAACAAGTCTGACTTTGATTGAATTGAATGGTTGTACAAGATAGAAATTTCGGGTTGTCACAGAGTACACCAGTGAACACATCGTTCACAAACACCTGCAGGTTGCGAGCCTGCTAGCGTTCCACTAGACTGTCTAGAATAGTCCATGGCCGTCATCTATACTCCGCTAGATGACTGGAATCAACAACAACAACATCGAGGCCTCTCATCATTTTATCACACATCATCTATTACATCTACCCATGTTTTACCCCAACATTTTTGTAGATATAAAATACATATACAATTTTAAATAATTTAAAACATGTATAAAATCATTCATCCGGCATAGACAACAAGTATTCAGATAATATGCACACATAGCATGTAATTTATATAAAATATTTCATATCTATGTGTAAGATGAAAGTAACTATGCACTCACTTGGTAAGGTGGTGACTTGGTACTCGGACAGCACTTCGTTACTCTTTAAAACAATTTCCTTCGACAAAACCTAGTATCATTACCACTAGGGTTTAGTTTAATATTCACCAAGACTAATTAATAGTCTAGCTATTATTAGTATTATATAAGCTTTAAACAATACTCATCACCCACTATATACAGACAGGGGCAGACATAAATCACCGGAGGGCAGGACCATTTTGGGATATAGCACTTCTGAAATCCAACAACCCTATGTGGCCCTTTAAACCAGATTCCCCGTACCGCGAATGGTTAGAAAGATATTATAAAGACACTATATAATTCATAATAATAGCCTAAATACTCATTATAAGGTCCTAATAACATTACTATATTGAAACATAAGCTATACTAAAGATAGGGTAGGCGTAGCTCACTTATAGCGGGTTTTCTCGAAAACCGGGCTTCGCTGGAGCAGCGTTCCCGAGCCGAAAGGCTCTTTTCGCGGGGCTTCGGGAGCCTCGGGGCTTCCTTCGGTTGCTAGGGGGTTTACCTAGACTTTAGGGGGGGTTTTGGGGCTTAGAGAGAGAAACTAGAAAGAGAAAGTGAAGTTGGATGGTGTGGGGAATGAAGGGAACCCGACACCTCTATTTATAGGCTGTCTGGCAGCTTGATTCATCGAGTCCACATTCAACTCGTCGAGTCCATGGCCAGGTGTCAGCATTCTGGTGGCGAAACGTGTGTGGCCTACATTGTGCCACGTCACCCCTTTTGCAGCAGCACCCTGCTGACTTCTAAACCCTGTAACTTTCGCATACGAGCTCCATTCTTGACGTTCTTTATATCCACGCGTAGGTAAAAACAAGATCTACAACTTTCGTTTTGACTCCGTTGGCTAATTCTCGACCGATCTTAAATTTAACAGTAAGAGAATATTATATTGTTAAATGACCGCGTAAAATTCATAACTTCTATATACGAACTCCGTTTTCATATGTATTTTTATCGTTGAGTTCCTATAAATGAGATCTTCAACTCTCATTTAGGTCGCGTAAGCCAAAAACCGCTCGAACTAAAATTCGAGTTTCGGGCCGTGCACTGCTAAGCCGAAACTTCGAAAAATCATAACTTTCTCATACGAAGTCAGATTTGGGCGTTCTTTTTATGGACGCTCTCGGTTTAACATATTCTACCACTTTCGTTTAGATCGCTAATGCTAAAAATCACTCTATCGTAAATTCACTATTTACGCTTCCCGGTGTCGTGCCAGTTCCGTCGCGAAAATTCGACGGGTCATAACTTCTTCATTATAACTCGGATTTCGGCGTTCTTTATATATCTGGAATCATTGTTTCAACCACTACAACTTTATGTAAATATATCGGGCTTATCTCACACTTTAATTTTGACGCTTATTTATATCCTTTATTTATTTTAAATTTATAAATAAGTAATAAGCATATAAATGCACATAACTCACATAATACTCAAATAATTCATCTTTATTACTTCAAAAAGAGTTACAATAGTTGACCTAGACTATTACATCATCTAATTAATGCTTAGTCCCGAAACACGGGCGTTACAATTCTCTCCCCCTTAGGATGATTCCGCCCCGGAATCATGCATCGGCAAATAGATGTGGATAGCGACTCATCATGCACTCTCTGTTTCCCAAGTGAGATTCCACTACAAGAAAAATGACTTACAGTCACACCAAAAAAGTGTGACCATATGCGTATAGTGACATTTTATTTTTTCACTGAAAGTGTGACGGAAGGTGACGCCGTCGTATGGGTCTTATGGTCACTTTAAAATGTAGTGTCCGTATGATATGAAAAAGTGTGGCCGTATTATAAATGTGTGGCTATTAGGCAGAGAATTTTGTTGCTAAAATCAATCATTTTATCTAATATTGTGGCGTTAAACTTTCGGTAGACACATTTATTTTGTAACTGTAGTGACTATATATCACCAACTTGCGACATGCATGTTGTTTCAGTGTGACGTTTTACTAATAAATAGTCACACGATTTAAAGTTTATTAAGACTATTAGGTATCTTTTGCAGACATATAATTATGGTGAACATGACCATATTCGCTAAATGGTCACATGTACTTAATTTCATATGTGGCGATTTGCTAATAATTAGTCAAAAAAAGAAGCAATTTTGGTGACTATTGCATATCATATAGAGACACAATTAAGTGAAACATGATCATAAGTATTATAAAGACACATTTTGTTAAAATTACGGATTTAATATTAGTTTACGGTCATATTTGTATTATTTTTCATGACCGATGTTATCATTCAGACATATAAAACGTTGTAACTATGACTATTTTATATTATTTCGACATAGAGAATCAATTACAAAATAATTGTAACTGATTTATAGACACAAAGTTGTTGCAAGTGTGACCAATATTCCAATTATTACCATAAAAATTGGTTATTAGTATAACCTATTTTATCATTTAGACACAAAAACGTTGTTGAATGTGACTATTGTTTGTTGAATGTGACTATTGTTTGTACTACAATCATAGAAAGTAATTTAAACTGTGGCCATTAGTGTTCTGTCAAGACACACAATATAGATAAACATGACTACTATCTTCCATATGGTCATATTATTTGCATATTTTCAAGTGGTTATTTTATTTTCTGACAAAAAAAATATTATCTAAGCATGACCATACATGAATTTTTAGTCACATAGTTATTGAATTTAGTAAAATGTGATATTTATTTGTCACATTTTTTTACGTTGTTATTATTTAATTCATCGTCACAAAAACTTTATATTTCGATATTATTAATAACTGAAATCCAAATCCACACAATAAATTCGTATTTAAAATACCCAAAAATAAAAAATTATACTAATTGCAAGTATTAAAATATGGTAAATAGAGCAAAAACATCATAAACCAAAACTTGGATTATAATCATATGAAGAGAAGTATTACACTGATAGAGTATATAATCATAGATATTATAAACCATTATGAACATTAAAATAAGCTTTATAAAGATATGGATGGCAATGATAAACATAATCTCAGATTTAATTTGCTCAGTGAAAATAAAGATGTTTCTTAAAGATGGCTTCAAATTCTTACTTGCACCTCCAACTAAAATTATTTTGCTCATAAATAATCAACAAACTACATCATCAGATTTGATCTTCTTATTGCTAGATGCATCATAATCGTTCCAGTTTCAAATCAATCTTCTTGTCATAGTCATTCCTGCACTTGCACTTACAACAGACGAAACACGTGTTCTTGGTGATCATACAAGCCTTGTAATAAAAAAATAGTAATCAAACACGAGAATTAACAAGATTCACAAGTGAAAACAAATACAAAAAACTTTAGAGCATATACGTGACTTTTTCCTATGTCATTTCTTCTTGTAATCAGAAGCAAAATACCAAGTTTAGACAAACCCTAAAAACTCCAAACACTTGAACAAACGTTATATTATTTTTCCAACTATCACAGATAATCATAATCAACAAAGCTTTAATAATTATATGATCACAGGACATCATTATTTTAATCCTCAATGCTCAAAAAATTAAGAATCACAATCAAATTTTGGTTATTACCCTAAGTTGATTGCTTAGAATTACCAGTAATAACTTTAAAAGCAAATCCAAACAGCCCTAAATTGATAAGTTTAGGGAAAAACATGAGAGCAACATTTTTTAGATAAAATCTAAAAACATGTATGTCAATTTAGAATTTTGATTGAAAGCAAATTTGATGTGCAAAAACCACATATATACAAGAAATAAATGTCATAGCTTTACTTATAATAGAAAAACATGTATAGAAGAAGAAAACTACTTACGAAGAGGCCGGTGAGGAGTGGTGGTCTCAAAGAAACGCATCTAATTCCAAATGTAGAAACTGCAAAAAAAACCATCAAAATTAATGATATAGGACAGAAATCAAGAGTTTGAAGGATAGAAAATATAAGGTACTTGCAATGATAAGCCTTCCACCAGTAGATGACAACTGCAACTCATATTCTGATCTATTACCAAAAGGGCATTTATGTCTTTTTGCATAGTAATGAAGTAATATAAAGTAGTGAGTACTGACCTTGACTTGCTTAATGAAAGAAACAACATTCAACATTCCACTTCTTGATAATCAGACCAAATTAAAGCGTTATAAGAAGAGATTTAGGGATTTAAAACATAATAGGAAGATATAACATCATAATTAGAAGAGATATATCTCTACATCTACAGTATTGACACTTCCCTTATGCATGATTTAGATCTTTAGCAAGCTCATATGAAATCAATACCAATCGAATGTAGTGATTGCATGTAATCAAACCTGAAAACAAAAAGAAATTCCTCAACATTTTTATATCCCCTTCTTAATTACAATTGAGAACAAATTTGTGGAAAGACTTATCAAAAACATCATATTTAAACATGGAGGATGAAATAGCAATCACCTTGAACATGAATGGAAGATCAACTCCTAACTTATCAACAAGAGTATCACCTAATCAGCAATCTCAAATAAAACATGTTTAGGGCTTACCTTTACACTCGATTATAGGCTTCTAAGCTCTTGTACCGTTGAGATGAAGACCCAAAAAAACCGAGAAAACACCAATGGGGATATGGGGCTATTTCGTGAGAAACTCTCCGAAAAATGTTCTGATAGGAGACGGAAGGAGCCTAATGGCATCGATCCTGGAATTCTTAATTCCATCTCAACTCGATTCGTGATCTGACTTGGCACCTTATCCAGATCGACGGTTTTATATTGTTTTCTCCACAAAATCGTCAGTACCTTGATTATGAAGAGAAGTTGTTCATACTATTTTCAAGCAGCCAATAGAGGATGAACAGGGGTTAGGGGAAACACAATCGACGATATGGGCGAAGGCGCGATGTGGAGGAGCCAGGGTGGAGGGACGGATAGGTAACGATGACCCCATGAGAGAAAAACGAAAGAACGAACCCTAGTGGTTTAGATTATGTTGGGGGTAATGGGAATTTGGAAACCTGAGCGGGATGTGAGTTGATTTTCAATATTCAGGATTGACATCTTCGATTGTCGATAGCAGACGTTTGGATCGATGGTGCAATGGAGAACGCGATTGGAATTTCCGATATCCCTCATGGCCTAAGGGTTTCAACATTGAAGATAATAGATATTAGGTTTAAAGAGGAGGGAATTACTAAATCAAAAAAATTTCAGGTAGAGGGAATCTGAAACTTTTGGAATGGAAGAACGAGGGAATAAACCAAAAATGAAATTTTAATATTTCTATAAAAATTGCAAATAAATGATTTTTTCTTTTTTGATTTTTCTATTTTTTTAGAAAGATAACTTTCTTAACCAGGGTTTCTGGACCGGTTTTAATTTTTTCATAAAATTACAAATAATTTTTTTTCATTGATAATATTATCTATTGTTTTTATTATTTAAAAAATAATATCTATGTTTTTATTTCTATCATGAAATTAAAATCTAATATATAATTATTTTGTTATAAGTTTTTTTTATCCATATGTATGTGTGTAAGTGTAAACGAGTCTGGTTGAGGCCAAGCCATATCCATAAGTCATAAGCCCTAATTTATAATCCCCGAGACATAAGCCCTAAATCCTAAGCATAAGCCATAATCCCTACTCCATAAGCCTTAATCCCTAAGCCCTAAGTCATAAGCCATAAGCCATAAGGACTAAGGACTAAGCTAACTATAAGTCATAAGCTCTACACCTTAAGCTTTAAGCAATATGAGTTTAGCCATAAGCTATAATCGCTATTTTGTAAGCCTTAAACCATAACCCATAAGGATTATGGTATGTGGTTTAAGAATTATGGCTTATGACTTAAGATTTATGGTTTATAGTTTATTGCTTAAGAATTGTATCTTTTGGATTATGGCTTGAGACGTATGGATTATGGCTTATGATATAAGTCATAATCCATATGTCATAAACTTTAAGCCCTGATCTATAAACTATAAGCCACAAGCCTTAACTCCTAAGCTATAAGCCGTCAAACATATATCATAAGATATTTCATACAAAATAGGCCTGAAGCCCCAAGTCATATGGCATAAGCCATAAGCCTTAAGCCTTAAGCCCTTCGCCCTTACTCATAAGCCATACACCTAAGACCTAAGCATAAGCCTAAGTCATGACCCTTGAGCCATAAGCCATAAGTCATAAGCCACCTATCCATACCTACAAACCCAGGCATACACCCTACCCTATTACAAATCCATATATCGACCCACCCTACCCAAACCCAACTTTACATACATGTATACCCCCACACACACCCATACACAATCTTCCCATATTTGCCAAAGCACGCCCACCTACACTTATACCCAATACCTACCTCATACAGCCCACCTTCACCTACAAACCCACACCAACACCACTCCATATAAAATTTAATATTAATAATCTATATATTCAAATAAAAATATCAATATATTAATATGACAGGCTTTGACTGATATTAACTAGAACCAACTAGCCTGACCAATTGTCTTTATTCGTAATTGGTTAATGACTTTCATATGATTAATCAATCACTAAGGGTAATGTGGGGATGTAGGTATGGGTGTGTGTGTGTATGTGTATGGATTGGGTTGTAGGGGTGGTGTTGGGTAGGATGTGTGGTATGTAGATGTGAGCTAAAGCCCAAAACCCTAACTACTAAGCCATAAGCCTATACTCTACACATGTATCACAAGCCACAAGCCTCAAGCCTGAATGAATAAGCCTTAAGCCTAAATCCATAATCACTAATATATAAATCATAAGTCATAACTCATAAGCCATGATGCATAAAGCATATGTAAACCTAAAGCTATAAGCCCCAATTTTAACCCATTAGCCCTAATTTTTAAGCATAAGTCATAAGCTCGCAGTCATAAGTCATAAGTCATAAGTCATGATCCATAAGCCATAATTAGCCTAATTCATATGCACTAAGCCTAAGGCCCTATGCTTTATGCCCTAAACATAAGTCATAAGCCCTCAATCATAAGTCATGATCCATAAGCCATAATTGGCCTAATTCATATGCATTAAGCCTTAGGCCCTATGTTTTATACCCTAAGCCCTAAGCCCTAAGCCACATGCCTTGCGCCCTAAGACCTAAGCCCTCATCCATAAGACTTGAGACTTAAGTAATTAATCATCAACCATAAGAATTAAATCTAAAGGTTAGGGCTTAGAGAGTAGTCACCACCAACCCATTAGAAAAGTGCTGCCAGCTCAACGCCATATAAACTCCACTACAAGCTCACTATCAAACCACTAGACTTTTGAAATGGTCACCACTCCAAATTATTTATTTATTTATTTTGATATTAAATCAAATAAAAAAAATTAAAACATAAACCTTAGCATATCACATGCGAAGAAAATGGTCAAAAAAGCTTAACCAATCACATGCGTCGTCTTCATCCGTCTCCATAACCACTCCACAACCAAGCCACTGGACACTAGGGAAGTGTTCACACATGACTTGGTTGTCCACCTTAGTTTTGACGCGTCTTTTTGGCACCCATTCTGGATAGCCTTGATGCTTAGTGCTTAGGACATAAGGTTCACGACTTATAACTTAGAGCTTAAGGCTTATGACTTATGGATTGGGGTTTTTAGTTTACATTTTTCAAAACCCTACCACACAGTAGACTAAAACAACATAAGTAAACAAGTAAAAATTTTGATAGTTTTTCTCTACATTGGAGTTCAAACAAACCATAGGAAAATCATATATATTTTTTCTATTTTATATAATCAATATTAATTAATATATTTTTTAAATTCTATTATTAATCTAACTTTTTTTAAGTATATATTTCGTTGATACAAATTTTCACCAAAAAATTAAAATTCCCGCACTTATTTTTCATTTCCCTCTTCTTTCTTTATCAAACTTTGCACTCTCCTTATCCTAATCGTGTTACCTCACCAGTGACAGATTCCCCTAACCTTCATTGGCGAATGCCGTCTACCCCCACGAAACCCCTTACGTTAACATCCCTTGTGGGTTGTCGCCACACTATCGACCTACATTGTCGCACATCTCAAACATCGTCGTCCTCGATACCAATTGAGAGTCCATCTCCAATTTCAAGCAATCGTTTCCACTTGCCCTAATCCCAAAGACGCAAAACGATCTCACGACTCTCGTTGTTCTTTTGATTTCCTTCTCTATTGTTTCCACTTGCTAATTGAGTCCGAGAGTCTGAGACGTAGAACAGGTCCGACAGTATCAAGCCCTTCGACTACACCTCGTCGCCTCCGCCTGAAGCACCTCCGCTTCCAGGTCCTCTTGGCGCTTGCTCATCTCGTTGCTCCCTCTCTGAAGGTATGTTCAGAGCTTAGTTATGCAGATCCGACGGTATATTGCCATCGTTTAGTTGTGTAAATTCACAATTTCACAGATTTACAGCTTCACAAATTCATGGTTTCACAATTTTAATGAAATTCGTTTTCATTGATTGATAGTTCTGATCAAATTCGTTTTTATTGATTGAAAATTTTAAATGGTTAACATCACAGATTCATAGAGATTCTTGTTCACACGGTATTGGACTTGTCTCATCTATTTCCCCTCCTCCAGATGACCCCTCAGCTGTCATAAATTCTGCTTAATATTGTTAAAATTTTTGCCTAATATTGTTAAAAAAACTGCAATATTAAAGCTATTAGCCAATGAAGAGTTTATATAATCAATAATGTTTGAAATTTGATTATTTATATGTCTGTTTGTGTGTTGACTAGTGGTTCCTTAAAGAGATAACTCGAGATATTCATAGTGCAGATGGGGAGTGGAGAATAATTCTGCTGAGATACTTCAATCCTATTAGAGCTCACGAGAGTGGGAAACTTGGTGAAGATCACACCTCACAATCATCGCTTAGCATTCTAAGTTTATGCCTAGAAATTCTACAAATTCATAGTTCGCTTAAACTAATGCTCTGATACCAACTGTGACATCCCCATTTTCACAGCCAGAAAATACCGATTTTGTTTATGCTTGTTTGAAAATCAGAGTAACATTTTACATAAAAGTGTTGCGGAATTTGTTCCCAAAATAAAAATATGATAAAGATTTATCAAAGCATTTCCGTAGAAATGTATTTCATTAAAAAGACTCGGGATGTCATGTTTGATACAGATCAAAAGCATAAACAGTACAATATAAGCCTTACTACATTATTTCATATCTACAGGCCTATATTCGTAATCCCTCATCCAAAACATCACATCTATGCTCGAGTGCCACTACCTGTAATACATGAAACTGAGTGGGTCAGGCTTGGGAGCCTGGTGAGCACATAGGGTTTTCAACCCACAATAAATAAGTTTATTAATTTTATCATCCAACAATAACCCGATTACCCGTTCCCGTTATCCTCACATTACGTCCCTAAAACACCTATCATAAGGGACCTACACTAAGGATCAACATCGGGATGGACACCACTGCTAAGGGGTTTCCTCAGCAATAAATGTCCTAAAGGCAACCATGGGGGGATGGAGTACACCGGTGAACACATCATTCACAAACACCTACAGGTTGCGAGCCTGCTAGCGTTCCACTGGACTATCTAGAATAGTCCGTGGTCGTCATCTATACTCCGCTAGATGACTGGAATCAACAAGAACAACATCGAGGCCTCTCATCATTTTATCAAACATCATCTATAACATCTACCCATGTTTTACCCCAACATTTTTGTAGATATAAAATACATATACAGTTTTAAATCATTTAAAACATGTATAAAATCATTCATCCGACATAGACAGCAAGTATTCAGATAATATGCACCCATAACACGTAATTTATATAAAATACTTCATATTTATGTGTAAGATGAAAGTAACTATGCACTCACTTGGTAAGGTGGTGACTCGGTACTCGGACAGCACTTCGTTACTCTTTAAAACAATTTCCTTCGACAAAACCTAGTATCATTACCACTAGGGTTTAGTTTAATATTCACCGAGACTAATTAATAGTCTAGCTATTATTACTATTATATAAGCGTTAAACAATACTCTTCACCCACTATGTACAGACAGGGGCCAGACATAAAACACCGGAGGGCAGGACCATTTTGGCATATAGCACTTCTG